GCCCCCATACTGAATATTTCTGCCCAGAACCGATTCCCTAAAGCCCAGACCATTTTTCCCAATTCTCTGTCCCAGAGATGCAGAGGTTTCCCCATCCTGAGCAGCTTCTGCAGCACAGTCATGCCTGGGAACAAGGGGTCAGGCTGAACCAAACCAACACAGCAAGCAGAGGACATGTTTTTAGCATGTTTCACCTGAGTGCAACACCCTCTTGTTCAAGCAATGCCATGTGTATGGACTCTGTACCCCCACTTCATTTGCTAGCTGTGAGTCAGGGAGAAATACAACGTCCCTTGGTTTTAATTAAAACGAAAGGTCACGCAAAATCCAAGATGTCAGGCAAGGCTCAGAACAGAAAAACTATTAACAAATGCAACTGAATTAGCAGTTCTTTTCCCAAAGACCACACAATAAGGTTTTTTTTTTCTTTTTTTTTTTTTCTCCTTTTCATGGAAAAAGAAAGAAAAAGAAAAACTCTGCTTCCCTGGTGTCATTAAGCTGATTCAGAACCAGCTCCTGCTGCCAGTGACTTCAGCTAGCAGAGGGCGGGGATGTACTTTAACAGAAATTTCTATTCGTAATTTGCCTGAGGTTACATCATTTTCCACAGACACCACAGAGACTGTCCAGGTTACCAGAAGACTGAGACAGCTGCTCAGGAACAGCCTCATATATCCCTAATGCTGATGACTTTCTTTGATTGTGCTTTTTAGGGTGCAGAGGGCAGATTCATCCCAGGCCCAGGCTCTGAATGACTGCACAGAGAACCCCTCTCTGTAGCCAGCACAGAAGGAGATCCCTATACTAGTTGTGCCATCACTGGTCCTTGGATGTCAGACTTCACCCAGATGCCAAAAAAAAAAACCACCTTAATTTTTCTTAAGCAGGGTGAAAGTGACCAGCAGAAACAGGATGACCGCTCTAGCTCTGAGGACTTGCCTTTCTGTCCCTAGTAGCCTGGGTGACAAGCCTGAAGTTAAACGTACAAGTTAATAGTCAATTCTCCACAGACACTTTGTCTTGCTTGCATGCGCTCAGAAGTCAAGCTTTGGAGGCCCACTGCAGTGCCTTGTAAATATTACTCAGGGGTGCTATTGAATAAAGTCATATAAAAATGCACAGGGCTTACAGCTGGACTGTGGCTTGTTTCTCCTAACCCTTACAAGTCAGAAACAAACTCTGTGCAATTAGAAAGTAGGAAAAAAATCAGATTTATTCTGGCACCCGGAGGCCTGTGGACATAGCTCAAGAATATGAAAAATTATGTGCAAAATTCATACAGGGGCATAAGGGACTCTGAATTAACCATGAAAAATGTCCATGCAGTTCCACAACTGCAATGTGTACAGCGTGAGGAGGATGAAGGGGATGTTCTAGGGCAGGGAAATGAAAGAGGCCACCGAGACTGAGGGGAGTGGGGGGAGGCTGGCTTGAGGATGCATTTAAAATTAATAGAGTTGATGAGAGGGGGATCTTCAGCACTTTCCTTTACTTATCCATCTTGCCTCTCCTCAGCTGTCCTGGGACACTCATCAAAAACACCGAGTTCATGGTGGATGAGTTAAGACTACAGCAAAAAACTCCAGGCAGACACCTTTATTCACAACTGAAGCCAGTTTCCTTTAACTACAAGGCAATGCAGCCTAACACCCTTTTAAATTCACACTGAAATCACCCTAATTGGGTCACCTGAGTGCCCTCATGCAGACAAGCCATTCTAGAGTACCAGACAGATCCTCCAGACAGCTTTTCACAGTAACTGTCGCTCTCACAGCTCTTTGTGGCACACGGAAAACTTCTTTTCACTTGGAAGGAAGCAGAGGCTAAGAAGAAGGGTAGCTCACTGCCAGCACCCAAAAGGAGGTGAGCCATCTATTCACTATTCTCTGCCTTGCTGGGAAATCACAGAAACCCCCTGAACTTGTCCTTGCTCAATGACCCACTTGCCGGGAAGACTGCTCGCCCTGCCTGGGAACCACTGATGCAAATCGTCAGGTCCCGAGGCAGCTGCCAGCCTGGCCTGACCGAGGGATAAATAAGGCAAAATAAGCTCAAAGCAAGAATCCGTGACCGCGTGACATTTCCAGATTGACTGCCAATGTATGCGTCTCCAGCAAGGTGCAAACAAGCGAATGGCCCTTCCTCCTGCATGTTAAGTGCTCCTGCCTTTGAAGATGAGCAGGAGCTGGAGACAATGCACCACATTATCTATCGCTCATTTAAGATGGATGTTACAAAAGACTTTGGAATTTGTCTTCTTTTGAAAAGTAAAAATATGGTTTTAATATAAAATGAGGCTTCCAAACCAAGATTTTACCCTGGACAGAGCTAATTCAAGTGCTTTCCGGCCCTGAATTCCCGGTGGGAGAGAGAAAACTGTTGAGTACAAAACTACAAGCACTGTTAAGCTGGGACCTCTTCAGATAGCTAAGAAGTGAGTCATAAGAGACACCACCACTAAGCTGGTCATTCATCAAAACCAATCTGGCCACAGACACCACAAGTCTTGTTATCTCGCTGCCAGACACTACATTTCCCATATCAGTCTGCCTTGCAGCCTGGTCTCCTCACGGTCTCACAGTCTACATCATTTTGCTCTTCGATGGATTTCTTCCCTCCTTTCAAGCACTTTCACTTTATCCACCAGGTAACAGAGGAGAATGCGCAGAGCACGTCTGCATTTTTAAAAATTAACTTACTGGCTCTTTGAAAAGCACAAGAAGGTTTTGCTAGCTATCTTCAGGCATAAAGAAATAAATGATTTGCATAAAAGCAGCGACCAGGTTCATGTTACTAACTTTCCTCCTCTTCTATTGAAAAAAGTACTCAAAAAAAAACAACCAAACCTACCACAAGCCAACAAACCCCACATCTTTTAACCAGGTCTCTTTTCTAAAGGAGACAGAACAGCATACAAATTTGGAAAAACAAAACAAAAAACCTACTCCTCCCTAAAATTAAAGCAGTAAGCAGATAGTTGCCCCCAGATGAGAAACACACTGGATTTATATTAGCCATGTCACTTGGTGCATGATTAGTGAGCCGGTGGATATTGCAGCAGTGAGACAACTGCAATAACATACACAGAACTGCCAGGAAGGAAGTTTTATTTTATTTTTTTTCCTAATACAGACCTAAATTGTACAAGTGCCTCTAGAAAGAGCCTTTTCAGAGCATCCTGGAGTTTAAGATAGCCAGTGACATGTGGGCAAGCCATTATTTGCTTGCACAGTACTAAATCAGACATCCTGAATGGCAGCTCTTTGCTTCTTCAATTTTCAGCTTTAGGAACCAATTCTGCTTTTGCTTCTTGCATTCAACAAAGCCACAAGTTGCTCTGTGCACTCATCCAAGATGTCTCAGCAGCTCAGCACGCACATCTTCGAGGCACCCCACAACACAACACGTGTCCTTGCGAGAGGCTCTGGGTAAGCAGCAGACAATAGGCTGCTTGCTTTCAAACCTCTCACTTGGAATGATTTCCACCCAGAACAGCTTCCAAACGCTGCTTTTGCTGACTGCAGGGGAAAGAAAATAACTCCCAAAAATATTTGTACCAGTGTTCCTGCTCAATTTGTCTCAAATGAGAGCAACCGTAACACAAACACGCCATCTTCAGCTGGGGAAAGTGGATATGGCTCCAGCAACCAGCACTGTGCTGAAATCATCTTACACCCACTGACACACGGATCCAACGCGTTTTCCATTATGTTACAGCAACGGATACAATTTCCATTCCTCTTTATAGTGTCTGTGCATATCTGATTAATTCTTCTTTCTCACAGGAAGTCCAGCAGCCGTAGACTACCGTTTTATTAGGTAGCGTATATCCAGATGATTTCAATAAAGCACTTAAAAAAAAAAAAAAGAGGCCAGTTTCCTGGTATTACAATAAAAAACTACTTGGAAGGAATAATTTCAGATGATAAATCTGCTGCTATTCATCAACTTTTGTATAGCTGATTAGAAACAGTGCATTGTCCCAAACATGTCCCCTCCGACTCCCTGCTGGGAACACTGCAACGCCCAGAAGTACAGACACGAAACACAACCCCCCCACAGAGATACTAACATGGGTGATAAATTGGTAACATTCAACAGCTTTTGCACTAGATCTCTTGACTGCTTGCGTGTATCCTTTTATTACACGTATCTATAATATTTAGGTCCAAATATGTCAGTCAATCTCCTATCATCTTGATTTTTTTTTCTTTTAATTTTAAACTGTCAAGTCTGGAGAAATCAGAACAATCCACTGTCTATGTCAAAACCATCAAAAGCTAACAGAGTATATTGAGGACAGTGACAATAGTGTCGCTGGTACACACAATGGAATCCAACTACATCCATTATAAATAGCCTATTCTAGCATGGGTCTAACTGGCTTTATTTTTTTTTTTGTGCAGCATACTAACATCTTGCTACAGCAGTATACAGGGAAGCACACAGGCAATGAAAATAAGAGCATGAACATGTAAGAGGAGGGGAAAAATAATAATAATAAAAAAGATAACCCACGAGCATTATGACTGCATTAAAAATGGGTTTGTGGCAGCCTCACTCTTCCGTTGGTGTTTGCTGCATCAGTGCTTGCAGTTCAGAACGTTAAGCTTGTAAACCCACGAATTGCCCCAGAGATAATCTGGAGGACAGAGCACTGCTAAAGCAGTGTGAGATACTTCTCCCAAAGCTGCCTGAAATTCAAGAGGGGAATTAAGAGTGACACATAGGTGGAAAACATTTCACAGAACAACCATGCAAACACACACAGTCAATTTGTAGGAAGAGAAAAGCAAAGCTCTGCTGGCCCACGAAGAAATGGTTTTGTGTGTTTTAGTAAACACAGACATTCACTATCTCTCATTTTCCATGCAACACTGTCCCCAAAATTTCTGCAAATAGTTTCCTGCTTTGACCCCTTTACAACACCGCTGATGCTTCTATAACTCTGTACATTGAACTCCCAGACCCAAAACATGAATGTAAGTGATGAGAGAGGGTGAATCAAAACCCTACTTTAATGCTAAGCTTAAAATACTTGGAGTCAGGGGGTCTATGATTAAGTTCAAATAGCCTTTAAAAGTATTATTACAAAAGTTTATTTTTATGACAAGAGGAAGACATCCTTCCTGCCCGCAGATACAAAAAGAACAGAAAGCAGAATAAACTGTGAAATAGGAGTCTCTGTCTAGCTAATAAATTAGTGGCTAAATTCGTGGGCATGCAACTCACATGCATTAGCTCTTTGGATATCCAAAAAATACTAAGTCTTTGAAGAATGCCTGATATCACAGCATGCAGGCAGAATGCAGTACATGCATCTTTCTGAGCATATCTATTGTATCTTGGAACGCACTGCTTTAATTTAGACTTGAGTTAGATGACTGTTTATGTAGGTTGCAGCTCTGGGCCATCCTCGTAGCGTTGAATGTTTGTGGTCTACTCAGCTTCCTGTGCTTCTGTCGCTTCTCGCTTGGCGCTTGCCATGAGATGTGTCGGATACAACATCTGTGCACGTAACATCAAAGATCCACTATAGTTTACATTCTGGTGAGATGAAGTAAATGCAAGTTGTTTGGGTCTTTTTCAAATTTATTTTTCCTCCTCTTATTTTTGCTCTTTAGAAGAGAGCCACCGATAGGTCTCAGTCTAGTGCCAGATTAACATAGCAAAATGCAGTGGTTGTCTGCCAAGGTTGTTGCATGTTTTCTGCATTAGAGGGGGAAAATAATAATAAAAAAGTCATGGTACATGCAGTTGTAGGGGACCTTTGCAGGAATAGATTGTCTATTTAAACTCCAAAATAGAAACTAGCCTAGCAGTAACACTTAATTTCAATTATTATTTCTCCTTCCAGTTCCATCATTACACAAGTTTACCAAGGAAAAAGCAAATTTATTTACATAAATGTCTGCAGTAAGGAAGAGGAATCCTTCCACACTTACAGGATGAGACAACTACTTATGAACTGTTTTATAGAAGGGAAAAAAAAGACCAAGCAGATCAGATGATAGTCTCAGATTTAAAGTGCCGCATTCATTGCCCTGTCCTTGATTAGGGACCAGCATATTTTGATGAATCTGGATGTGACTCCCACTATTGTCATATTGCTAGAATGAGAACAGTAATATTACTCTACCTTCTGTATTAGAGAAAAACTACATTAAAGTCACAGATTCTCAGATATCTCAGTGATGGGAGACAATACCAGCAAGGACTACATGGCACGGTGTCTGTCCCCTGTTTGTGCAAGCAGTTCATACCAAAGTTGACTATTTTCAGGATATCTTCAGAAGTTATTATCAGTAAAAGACTTTTTGGGATACCATTTATCAGTAGAGGGACTAGTGTTAAAATGAACAGAATTGAACCACTTAGGGCTTTAACACACGACCTATGTGCAGTGTGTCAAAGGAGTAAGAAAACCTGCAGCATGCAAGGGAAATGCAGAGCTGCTGCCAGCAGCCTCGTCCATGCTGCAGAACCACCGGTGTGAATCCTACTAGCAGCAAGTCATGGGCATAGACACTCCCAGTTCACCATTAATGGATATACTCAGGAGAGTGTGCTTGGATTAAGAGTTCTGCATTTCTTGCTTTATCCACAGCCACATTTTGGTTATCAGGGTTAGGCTGTTCAAAGGGCAATTTCTGGCTATTTTCACATTACCAGGTACTGTAAATAAGAATTGCAATTCCTTAGCTGCATAAATCCCATGCTGACATGTGCAAAACACTTGTGGCTTTAAAAACAAACAAACAAAAAAACACAGTGCCTGTAAAGTCTAATTCTTCCTCTTTGAAATTTACATTTTCAATATAAATTCCGTTCTTCTTCCTCATTTATATATACACAAAAATGCATTTATTTCTATGTGCAATTATAACTCTCTCTGAAATTCTCTTTTCAAATGTAAAACAGGAAAAAGACACTGATTCAACACAGAATATTGACATTTTATTCTTACTGGTCTGGATATCTGCCCAAACAAAGAGCTGGTTAAAGGCAAAATACAAAGAACGCTTTTGTGAGGGGCTAAGTTCACCTGGGAGAAGTATTAATGAAGTCCCACAGGGGTGGGACTCAAGCTTCCCTGCTTTCAACTAGAAAAGAAGCCAGACTGAGAACACCAAGTTCCCTGCCTTCCTCACCCCTTTGTCTTGAAAACTCAAGAAGGAGTGCTAACGTAATTGAGAATTAGGGACCTTTCTGCCATTAATCTATCGGGTCTGTGATGAAAGATGTTGGATTTTCAGACGGCAAGCCAGCTACAACATGGCCCTAAAACAAAAGTTCATCAGTGGGTCATTACAAGAGGGCTGTTAACTCTGACAGGAAGACCTTTTTAAAGAAATCAATACCATAAGCAATAATTACACATGGTAGCAATACAAGTGGCTGAACTCAGAATATGGATGTTTTAGTGTGTATTAAGGCATTAGATCAATTTTCTTGCTACTACAGAAGACAAGAAACAAGAGCATTGCTCTACCAAGAGATGAATGTCTACTCCCATCAAATATCATCCCTGGCTTTACTGTGCAAAATATAACTCTCCTAATGGTTAGTTATTCATCAGTTGTGGCAGGAAACGTCTTTCTCTGACCTCTTACTTTTGATATTTAGTTTGTAGCCTAAAGTTAAAATATTCAAATATCTTTGCTTTAACTAATTTTAACTTTTTTGACTCTTAAGGTACTCTTTGTCTTAGCTGTTGCATCAAAGCATGCTCAACATTTTAATTGTTATGGAATACATATTTGTAGATGGTAAAGACATGACGCAGGCTTCAAGATGTGCTGGCAGCACCAGGAGAGCCAGGCTGATAACTTCATCCTTAGGACCAAGGAACTGTGCAATGCCTGAGCTGCTGAAAGCCTTGAATCAGCCTCACCCACCTGTGGGACAACCATACCACCCGCTGTGATACGAACACAGCCCTGCTCTCATCAGAAACAAGTCCCATTTCCAAGGTTTTTGTACTATAACTTCTGCTCCTTCTTTAACAGGAGCATCAAAACTGCTCCCTGCGGTGCTTTTCCTGTGCAAAGCACAAAGAAATCCACGCAAGATATGGGGATCCAGCTACTTTATCAGCAGTCACAGCTTTAACGAGAGGGGCAAGTTTCCAGATCATCTCCTTCATTTTGAAGTCCACCACTTCACACTGCCCAGCAAATCTCCTTCTCCATCTCTGGAATTACGTTCATTTCCAGCTACACAGTACATCATCACAGCTTGCTGAAGAGGGCTGTGAATCACAGCTACTACAACAGTTACAGACACCTACACCTCTGCCGAGCACAAGCTGCTGACACAACTGCACACCTCTCTCTTGTAAAGGCTAAAAATCACCAGTGAATGATATTAAGAGTACATATCCTGCATGGATGAGTGAAAGCTAGGAACAATTAAGACAAGTTACTGAAGCAGAAAGATTTATAGCATTCAGGAAACCAGTATTTTGCAGCAGACATTCTTCAGACTTGCATAAAAAAAAAAAAAATGAAGTAAAATTGTTTTGATGAACCAATTTCTTTTTCCCTTTCATACCTCCCCACCATACATATGCTACCTGGGTTTTCTACTACTTTATTTCCAAGAAACTTAGAAATACTGGGAGCACACCAATACTTGACACTGATGCACTGTCATTTCAAGTAATACTCATCGCTCAAGACAAATACTGCAACAATGACCTTGTAATGTGCTTTTAAGAGAGGATCACGTTGAATGAGCACTGTAAAGGCATTTAGACTGGACTTGAAAAAGTGAAAATTTCATAGCTGGTAAAACACTTTTGCTCTGAGTAGCTTAGTTCTTTTTGATTGTAGAACTAAATCAAGATGAATCTGGTTAGTGTTTCTAGATAAATTATTCTGTCATTTAAAAAACAAGTCTGTGTAGATGTAATTGAAGGTTACTACTTTCTGAAACATGATAGAGGGTATAATGACTCCATTCTAGCTACACTAAACAGGCAGTCTGTTATAGTAAGTCAATATAACATTAAACAGGATATATTATACTGCCTTTGTTATGAAAAACCTATAGCAAGAAAAAAGAAGCATTTTTTTTTTCAAGAAGCATAACTCAAGGCTTTCTGCAAAGACTCCTCAGAAGAACTGGATAGGGGATAACTTTCCAATTCCATCAGCTCTCTAGGTTAAACACACACACACATTCATTACCTTGGATGAACACACATACACAGGTCTTCTGTCTTCACGTAGAAAAGGGTGCAAGGTCACCTAGGTGCTAAGCTTTCTCTTGGAAACATAGGAATCCTTTTTTCCACTCCAGCCTCAACTCCCAACCAAAAGGATCCCCCACAAGAGCCACCTAGTTTCCTCAGCCTCCTCTCTCAGAGGAGAAGAGCTGCGTTTATGTTAATCACTGAGTGAAAACACCTTGACCTGCCATTCAATCTGAAAAGATCCCACTTGCACAGAGCAGTGAGGGGCTACAGGTGGGCAGCATTGCCTCCTGCCTGATGGCCTTCCCCATAGCCACCTGCTTCAGCACACCTACAAACACATCCTGACAGCACAGCACTCGTACTTGAGCAAGAGCTGCTGGTTTGGGCTACAGGCTGGTTAATTCTGGCTAAAAAAAAAAAATAATAAAATAAATTATGTTAAATAAACCCGAGGTTCCTTGGCATCTCACATAAATCAAAGTAGTAGGCCAACTGCTGCAGCCTGCGCTCTTCACTCACTCCAAGTAGCAGCCAGACCAGAAATCAGGTGTGGGTTTGGCTCAAAGTACCACATATGAAGTCTCTAAGTCTCTCACGCGAGTTCTCCAATAGTTCACCAAGAGGTCTTTAAGCAAAAACTTGGGTGCAGACTGTGGGAACCTCACACTTCAGGTCTGGATCCAGATAGCGGCCATAAGCAAATGCTTTGGCTGGCAAATATTCAGCAAAACACAAAAGCACTCCAGTCAACAGGCATGAACTGGAGTTGCTTTGGCTGAGATGCTTAGATGAATCGGTGGATCAGAGAACATGAGTCACCCTAGCTGCCATATAAAACTTTATAATATAAAAAACTTTATAACTAACTTTATAATTCATACAAAACATGTATGTGCACATACATGTATGTATTCATATAAAGTATATAAACTAATCCCCTTTTTGACCAGGTTGGAGACACACAAGAAGCTCTATACGTATCAAATTTAATAAACACCTTGCTTATATTACGAACTAGGATTTGTCCTGCGACCACTTTATTAAAATTTCAGTGCATGGCTGTTTAAATCATAGCAGTATCAGCACAAGCTTGGCTTTCTTGGTTTAACCTGAAGACTGATGGATATTCTCCCAACTCTTGCTGAAAGATTTTATTTTATTAGGTCATATTACAGCCCTATCTTTTTGCAGAATGAAATAAATTCATCTCCTTGGTGATGGCATGCATGACTGGCATGATGCACTCACCAACATCTTGTAGACAGCTGTGAACATTTGCCACTGTGCCAGTTAATCTATGATAGCATCAACAGAGAGAGAGAAACAAAGAAGCCAACACAAAAAGCTCTATTGAATAACATAATAAATGAGTGATGCAGGTGTTCTGTGACTTGGTTTAATTTTTTCAACCTTACTGAAAGGTAACACTTGAGTCAACAGTGGCCAAGGTGTTTCCCAGTTACTGCCTCCTCTCGAATGGCAATGCACAAACTGTGTGTTTTACACTCAAGTACAAAGCTTGTGTATACAAGCACTACTTTATTCATGGTATGACTGGATGGATGTTGGTTTCTAAAATGGCCTTCAATGCTCTGACTTTGATGATTTTTGCAGGAATTTTTGTGGCATTAAAAAAAAAAGATTGGATTCCAAGTAACCATTAGAAACAACTATAATGTCCAATGAACAAAATGGCAGAATTTAGAAATCGAAGCCTAAAGCTCACTAAATTTAATGGGACATAAGCACGTGCTAGTTACTTTGCTGAAAGGGGGCCTTGCAGTTGTAGCTTAATGAGTTGCTTTGTAAGCTCTAAGCTAAATGGAGCTTGGAATCTTTAATGACCAATCTGTGTAAACAGCAGCTACTAAATTACATTTTAATGCCCTGATGATCTTTTAATTCAATAGACAAATGATGAGGTAATTTTAGCTGGCATCATAGCATTAATGCAGCAGGGAATGCACACTGGGAAGAACAAACAGAGTAAGCGAGCACAAAGGATGAACAGTATCTGGTACAACTCTGGTGCTCTGATCTGCTTCCCAGAAATCAGATATCCAACATTTGTCCCAGTTTAGAATGTACCTATTTTAGCAGAAAAGCAGCAAGGTGGTACTTTAATCATGAGGTACACTGGCCCAGGGCTTTAGAGCAATGTTTCCACTAATGCTGAAGGATGCAACGTGATTAAAGCACAGTATTGAAAAACCATCTTGGCACGCTCACAATGAAAACTGAGATGAGAAGGCCCAGCCTGTTAATATCACAGCTGAGTCAGGAAGGGCTGTGCAAATGAGGGGCAATGGAGCAAGCTGGCGGTGATCAGCACACTCAGTTACAAGTCCTACTGCCCCAGCCACGAGATTGGGTTAGTTGTCAGTCAAGTAGTGAAATAAACTCTTTATGAAAAAGGTGCGGTTGAAGCCACGATGAAAGCAAAGCTGTGTACTTGCAGAGCACTGCAGTGTCTTTAAAGAAGTGCCGGCCATTCTCTTGGGGTGTGTGAGCCAAGAGCTCACCTAGGGTCTGCATTTAATCTGCTTATGTGCTTACAGCAACTGCATGTGTAGCACAGCAGACTGCAGGTGCAAATGCTTTGTCAGCCCACACTTCTGAAACCTGGCCACAGCTCTCTTCTCTTTAAAAGACATTACCATCAGATCCTACTGCAGATGCCAGCTACCTATAGGGTCGCTTAGTCTGGATCAGGCATGTGAAAACACTTCCAACACGTGTTGAACTATCCCCAAGGCTCTCTTACCTGCTGTACACTGAAGTCTCTCAGTTCAGGCTGCTTCTTTCCTTCATCGCAGCCCTACCTTGCCTCCTTCTCCCCACACCCAAACTCTTTGATCCCTACCAGACTCCTTGGTGCCCTGAAGAGCTGTTTCGCTGGGTGATGCTACACTTCAGAGCCTCAGCAGGTCTGGCGCTGTCTCTCTGGGACTTGATCAAATGCTGTTTTCCAGCCTCGTGATCTCTGAGGCTTCCCTGAATAAACTGTGTCTCAAAATATTTTGTCACTTTTCCCGACCTCAAGGAAATCCATGAGCATGGGAGGTCAAAAGACAGCATCTACTCTCTTATGCAAGTGGAGTTTAGGAGAGATGAAGTCCCCGGTGGTTTATATGGGCCCTTTCAGATATCCAGAGGGGTTTGGTTCTGCCCTGTCTTGCCCTGAGATGGGGCCAGTTCCTATTTCCTTTGATCATGTTCTTCCTTTCTCAGGGAAGAGAAACCAGCAGTTTCTTCAGTACCTCTGCACTGAAAATATCAGCGTTTGTACTGGCCAACATCTGAGAAAGCTTATTCCGTTGCACAGGGGATGAACATTGTTGCTTACCTGTTGGAAAGCAGATACCAAACTTTTATTTCTCCAGTTGCATTTCGAGGCAGCTTGAGATGGAAAAAAAAAAAAGGGGGGTCTGTTCAGAAGTGCAAATGTCAGCCTTTATGAACTGACTCTTGCACAGGCAGGAACAGAGGGGCCTGAAGAGATGAGCTACACATTCCTTGGAAGCTGTAGGCTCTTCATGACTGGCTATTGACACAACGTGGCCGAGGAGAATCTGTGTCAGACTTGTCAGCGTGTTCAATGGACCTGCGGGAGAGACCTGGATCCCTGAGGGAGGCCAGGAGACACAGAGGAGGCCAGAGCGAGGGCAAGCACATGACTGAATCTGAGCAGCATTAATCTTTGAGTTGTCAGTGCAGCAGGCTGTGTTACACACAGCAGTTCCCTGCTTTGATCCGTTTTGATTTGTTATTGGCTTAATACCCTAAGATATTTTATGTATCTTTCAGCCTCTTCATTCAGGGCTGATTTATACCATCCATCCCAAGAACTAGAGCAGGAAGCCAAAGAAGGGTTCTGAATCTGTGGAAAATGCATTTTCAGGCTTTTCAGCACATCTCTCCTTTTGGAAAGCCTGCTCCCTGAGCTGGCTGGCCACATTTCTGCTGTCTGGCTCAGGGTGCCAGCAGCTGCCCTTGATCTCCCAGCTGCAGAATGCTTTCACTCTGGGTAGACGAGCTGGCCTGTCCCAAAGCACTGATAATGGTGAGAAACTTCATTTTGATGCTCAGCTAAGTGGTTCCTCCAAGTAGGTAAGCTATTCTTTTACTTTTCCTGGAGTTTTTTTTTCCTTTCCTTTGTGCGGCTGCTGATCGCATTCTATGTTGGTTTTTATGGGTGCATTAATGCCTCTTCTTTGAAGGTTTGCCAGTTCATTATTTAATGGCTCCATCAAGACTAAGGGAAACTCTTCCTCTGCGAAATAAAGCCAGACAAGGTGCAGAAGGATAGTTTTTCCATGCTTAAGGTAAGCACATTGTGATGTTGTGCTGCAGCCATGCCCATGCCTCCTCTTTGCTGCTGGGGGTGACACCTCTTTGTGCCAGCAGCCTAGGCAGTAACATCGCCTGTCCTAGAGGTTTCTTATCAGCAGCCTTCACTTCCTTACTGCCCTCAGAATGGTTTGATTATATTTCTGCAGCCTAATTTTTTCTGCTTATCAGATGACAGTCCAGCTGGCAGGAAAGAGCTTGTCCATTCAAACATGCAAGTGTGAACGCAGCTGAAGGGTTGGCAGTCCCTCCTATCTCATCGATTCATTGTATTTGGGTCTGGCAAATTCACACTGTAGCTCTTCCTTTGCACTAGTTCCTGCAGTCACTGAAGCTTTGGGACAAAGCAAAGGTGTTCTCCATGCCTCTTGCACCACAGCTCAGAGAGGGACCACTTCTCCATGCCCTCTCCACAGGACGTACTGTGTTTCACAAAGCTTATGCTTCTGTTTGCCTTTTGCTTCCTCTGTTTGACCTGTGTTCTTTGCTTCTTGGGATCTCTCCACTTCTCTCCCAGGGCTGCTGGCTCTCAGGAGGCATTCTTCCAGGGTTAGAGCTGCTCCTCTCCCCACTGTCTCCTGCACAAGGGGGTCCACACTCCATAAATATGCTCTTATCTGTAGTTAGCAGGATTTTGTGTTTCCAGACCTTTGGTTTTAGCCGCTTCTTTGCTGAAGCTGAAAGCGTCGCTCACCTCCTCTGTAAGACCAACGTGCTCATGGGAGTCCATCACATGATGGGCCCGCCCTGGGCAGCAGGTCCAGGAAGGAGGGCGCTCACCCTGAGAACAGCAGTTTGTTCAATTTGTCCTTATCTCCTCGCCATGAGATAAAGATGGGACAACAGACAGGGTTTTTCTATCTCCCCCAACCCTGTTGTCAGTTCCCGCTGCAGACTTACCTCTT